AATTCTTCCTATGAGGGCAATGGGACACTGCCACAAGTTGCCCAGAGAAGCTGTGGATGCTCCATCCCTGGCAGCATTCAAGGCCAGCATGGATGGGGCTCTGGGCAACCTGGTCTAGTGGAAGGTGTCCCTGCCCATGGAAGGGCTTGGAACTAGGTGATCTTTAACATCCCTTCCAACCTGAATCATTCTATGATTTACTGCAAATCCCAGTATACAGCTCGAGCTTGTATATGCATTAATTTTTTTTTCCCAAATGTATTACTTGTACAAATTAAGATTTAATTCAACACAAGATCTCATTTTACAAATACAGTACAAAATAGGAAGCCTTTCAGAGGTGCTGAACAGCCCTCATAATAGGACAAGATAACATTTATATTCATAAGAGGTGCCTAATAAAACCCCTTATAACTAATCTAACTTCTACAAGCAATTCTTTTTTATTGGGAGAAAAGTTTCATCTACTAGATTTGATACATAACATCAAACCCTTTTCAGTAGTTCCTGAAAGTATTGTTAAACTTGTCTTAGACATCATGAAACAGATGTGCAGGGAGGAAAAGGCTGGTTACACAGCAGGTCAGTTACAGAGCAAATAACAAAATCCGTACCTGCTAAGTGCAGATTCTTGGTGCTCTGTGCATTTCCCATATCTATTTTTAATTTTGTAATTCTCAAATCAATCTACAAATCAACTGCAAATTTTCTGGAAGTTTATGAGATTATTATAAAACATTATTATAAACTAAGTTAACCCAAACTAAATTCAGGATGGTATTCACATATTTAGACAAAGAATCATTCTTAACAAGGTTAGTCCTACAAAGCACCCCAAAGAGATAAAAAAGTTGGTAACTAGAAGACAATATGCCACTTAGACATAAGCTGTTCTAAGATGTTCCTGATACTAATTTACATTCCCCAGTAGCACAGACTGAACCTTGAACAAGATGATTTCTGACTTTGTTTATCACTGTTCACTATTACTAACAAAACAGATAAAGACAACAATTTGGTCATACAAGAATACTTTCTGTTATTTAAACATACCATATCTGCAGTAAAACTATCTAAAGACTCTGCTCTTGACCTCCCTGAGACAGCAGAGAAGTCATTGATACCTTAAAAGACATTCATACTGAAGATTACATAGCCAAGTCCTATCCAAATTATGTGGGTCACTTACCCTAATTTGTGAAGCAGCTGGAGATCTTCCACAGTAGATGTGCTGTATTAGATGTATTGCTTGCCCCTACTGATGACCTGAAGTGAGAAAGGATGTGAAGATAAGAGAGGCGTAAGACAAACATTACCCAGCTGAGGCACAGTTTTCAGTCCACCTATGTACGTATGCAATGCCTAATTACCCAGGGACCAGCACCCAAGGGTCTCTCAGCCACCTGGGATGCCGGACACGAGCAAAGTAAGCGCTTCACCCCCTCATCTGGGAAATCTCCGGGAGCAGAGCCTGGAAACTGCCCTTCCCCGGGGTGCGGCTGAGGCAGCAGCGGCCCCCGAGCGGCGCTGAGGACGGGCTGGAGGAGCGGGGCCGGTGCCGCCCGGCCCTGGGCCCGTTGCCCCTGGCGAGGAGCCACTTCGCCTCTCCCCACCCTCACCGGCCCCTCGCGTGCGGCCGCCGCCGCTTTCCCTCGCTGGGGTTTGAACTACCCGCCCTCACCAACCGCTGCCTCCCCGCCCCCTCCGCGCTGCGGGCCCGGGGCAGGGCGGGAGCCTGAGGAGAACGGGATGGCTCTGTTCGCTCCTCCGGGATGAGAGACGGTACACGGGGGGCTCGCTCGGCTCCTCACGCTTTATACTTTGTGCCCTGCGGGCCCCGCCGCCCCCAGCCCACTGTTAAAGCGCCCTTGGGTCGCTCCTGCCCTCTTTCTCCTCAGGCGGCTGGCGTGGGTGAGGGCGAGGTTTTCCCGCCCCCGCTCCGCTCCCTGCGAGGAGGGGGCGCCAGCGCTGAGGGGCGGCTCAGGGAGGCGGGTGAATCGCGGCCGGGCAGAGGCTTTCAGAGATAACGACCCTTACCTGCAACACAGCTTTTAAGCGTGAGTTGTAAGGGTGCTGATTAATTCGAGTTAATTAGTACGTTTGTGCCGGACGGTTCAGGACCGAAACAATCATTGAGCATTTGTCAAGTGCATCGCCTTCAAAGCAGTCGGGTGGGAGATGCCCCGTGACGGCACCTGGGTTTTGCTGTGGGTTTAGTTTTTCTTCACACTAATCCTCCCACACCCCCCCACCACTAAACAAACACAAACCCACCAAACCCACGAATATGTGGATGCCTATTTTTCCTGGGCTCGGTAAAGATAACGTGGGGCTACGCAGGCTCACCTACCAGCTGACTTCACACTGGCGGGATGGGGAGTGTCAGACCCGAACGAGAGACCTACATTTAAAGAAGCGCAAAATTCCAGGCTTTCCAAAGAAACGCCGAAATTAAGTCACGTAATCTCTGTAGGTGAGATCGGGCAAGTTCGCGACCTTCCCTTTTGGCAAATCCGCTTCTCCAGCCTTTCGCAGCCTCCGGAGGGGTGATACAAGACAGCCTGAGAAGGGCTCGAGTAAACACTGGTTTAAAAGTTCCTGACCCAGAGCCGGCGAAACTGACATTTTTATGTAAAGAATATCGGTTTATGTGACTACAAGGTAACAGCTGTGGCTAAAAAGAGAAGGGCTCTTGGGGTATATTAAAAGGATATTAAAAGGAGAAAACATTAGAAACTTTCGGGAATATAATAGAACTTTTTTGAAAGTGTAGTATCTATTTCACAGGAACTGGATAAAATTGTTTTTCAAATATTTGTATTTATAAATAAATAAACAAACTATCTTCTGAGTGAAATTGGCAGCTTGCCAGAGGGACACGAGAGCTGCAAGCTGTCTTCATTCACCAAAGCCTCAACTAAACCTTGTGCGAGTTGGATCAAAAAATATTCAAGAAACATAACAAGTTGTAATTGCGGCGTTTGCTGCAATACACAGAAGCGTCACACCAGAAAGCGCGATTTTTTTTGTTGTTAAAAAAAAGCATCCCAAAAAAACAACAACAAAAACCAATCAATAAAACCAACTAAACAACACCCCGAAAAAAACCCAACCAAAACCTGAGAACACTATTTCTAAACAAGCAAAATGAGGTAAGACATTCTGCAACACCCGCGCTGCACCCGTCTATTTTCTTCCCATCTCTAAAGTACCTGTACCCCTGTACCTCCCCACCTTGCCTCACGAGCCTTTCCTCTAGCTTTCCTACCAATTCCCTAAGAGCTTTACGGGACAGTGGAGGTCTCCTACATAGTCCCAACACTTTCTGCTACTCTAAATCCAAGCGGCATCTTTAGGGCTAGAGTTTATCAGCCCGAAGGAATGGGGGTTTGCTGTTAAAACGCTCCACTCGAAGGGGGCGGATTTGTCGGAAACGGCTGAAGTAACCGAAGCTTTAACATCTGGTAAAACATCCTATTTTTCCAAGAGAACAGTCGAAGGATGCAAATAATTGAGCAATTACATGACCACTTTCTTAATATTGGCGACCTTATTTTCACAGGATTAACTGAATTTTTCATGGTGGTATTTTTAATAAGTCCTTTTAAAATTATCGGTTTGACAAACGCATTTTTAAAATATAAACGACTCTAGAGAAATAATATCAGTTGCTTTTTCTTTGTTTATTTAGGAGATGGTAATTACTTAGCGTGCGCTTACCAGGGAAGGTAGGGCTCAGGCTTTTTTTTCTCCTCTGCTTAAACCTTTGGTACCCACCCACACCCACGGGTCTGTGGTGGAGGAGAGGACGCGGGGAAATCAGAATCCAAGTGGATAGCTCTGCCTTTCACATACCGTTTTTCTTGTATGTGCTTTATTTTGGCACCCTAAAAGTTTTATTTAGCTTTATTCGTACACAATAGTATGAAGAAGCAAGTCTAAAATCATTACTGTGTTTTCATTACGTTTAACTTAAACACAAAATTAGGAAAAATACAACTATTTATTATTCCCCAAGTTTATTTTAGGTAAGATATAGGTCATGTGTGAAGGTGATTTGCTAATAGGAGAACATCAAGTAATGACGACTGTTAAAACCTCGTCCATATTAAGGCATTGGGGTGCTTAGGAAAAAAAAAAGATATTCAATATTCGGAAACATAAAGACATTTCCTTAAACTGGAGAATCTTTTTAACGATGAAGTAATTTAAATTGGCATGTTCACAAACCACAGTATTCGCTGAACATTTGTTTCCGGGAATAAAGCAAACATACACAGTTCTTCAAAATGCCACTCGAAGATTCAAAATTCCTACCATTGGCCAGTGAGGTGGGGCCAATGACAGAGAGGTACCGGTGTCATTTCAAACCTTGTCTGCACTATTTCAGTTCAGCACATCGGCAACCACCCACATCGGAACTTCTTTCCTATTAGGACTTTACGCTTAAAATACATAGCGTATATGTTTGGTTAGGTAAATTTGGCTTCACGTGGGTACATATGATACCGATCACAGCATCAAAATATCAAGATGTGGGTTTCACCCACGAATTTTAGGTAAAACACTTCTGAAAGCAGAGCGGTCCTCGAGGTAAAAACCTCGGCGGTTTAAAACCCGGCAGCCGTATGACCAGACCTGGCATAGGGCATTCTGTGTCCCGAGTAGGTCGGGTACAGACAAATAAAAAGCCAAAAGCACCGAGTACCTTGGGGCTCATTTAACCATCCACGCAGCTGCCTACTTTCTCCATGGGAAACTGACGCTGCTATTTATATGAAAGCCTGTGCCTTAAAAATTGCCACCAAATATTCTCTGCCCCCTTCCTCCCCCCTCCCCCCAGCCGGTTAACGCCGATAGATGAGCAGTCATTAGTTTCCCAGGCTAATTAACTGTTCCGCGGGAGGTGCCGGAGCTGGCGCGGGCGATGCCGGCCCCTCCTCCGCCAGTGCGTCATCAGCGTGCGCCGGGCAGCGGCGGGGCCGAGAGCGGCAGTGAGGGGCAGTGAGCGGCAGTGGGTGAGCTGGGTTGGGGTTCCTCCTGGGCTCGGGGCCCTCCCGTCCGACCCGCTGGTCCCTGCGCTGCTGGGCGGTGGTGGCGGGGCCGTGGCGGGGAGGGAAAGGCCGGGCCCAGTCTCGTTGGCTTCGTTCCTTCGTACGAGGCCCGGGGGAGGAGGGGGGGACGGTGCGGGAGGTCCCGGTGCGGAATTGTGGCGGGATGGGGAACCTGGGCCGGAGGGTGGGCTGTCCGTTGGGTCGTGAGAAGGACTGTCCGTCCTTCTTCGTGGGCTCTGCGGGACGTGAAGGAGCGGGTTGACTTCTTACGGGTGCGAAAACTTATGGACAGGGAGTTCCAGCTGAACATGAGGAAGAACTCTACTATGCGAGGGACTGTGTACTGGAACAGATTGCCCAGAGAGGTTGTAGAGTCTCCCTCACTGGAGATATTCAGGGACCATCTGGATGCAATCCTGTGCTACGTGCTCTTGGACGACCCTGCTTGAGCAGGGAGGTTGGAGCAGATGACCCACTGTGGTCCCTTCCAGCCTTCCCCACGCTGTGATTCTGTGTCGTGCTCTCGGCACGTGGAGGATCCCGTGTCTCTGTGTGTGGTTTCAGCTGTTCCCCAGTGCGTGTCGGTGCATTGCTGTGCCTGGTGGCTCTACCAGCCCGGTGGCATCTGGGGTTGCAGGGTATGTGAAGGAGAGAGGTCAACCAGGGCACCTCCCTGCAAAACACACAGCTGTGGGTCACTGCTGACCTTAGCAGCAGTGTCATTTTGCTGCACGAGTTATTTAGCTACAACTGTGATCTCTTAGTTCAGCTGTGTTTTAGAAGAGCTCCTGTTTCCTAGTGCCAATGGGTGAATGCTTATATCTTACTATGACATACTGACTTAAAAAGAATGTCACACCTGTGGATTAGGATGCCACTATGATTGTGGTATAGCATACTTGAAAGCTGTAGAGTGTAATTAATTCTTTCCAGTTCTCTTAAATGGAGTGACAGGGTGGGAATTTTAACAGGGTGGTCTGTCAAGTGCTGATCAAACTATTAAAGAATGAACTGTCAAGCTTATCCTTCTGTTTTCCATGCCGTAATTTTCCCACTTCAATTTATACTGAAACAAACTGCGAAGATCAGGTTAATAATCCCTGCAGTAATACTAAGCAGAGGAGCCCCTGGTGGTCTAGTGGTAAAGGCGCGGCGTTATCACCGCCGAGACCCGGGTTCGATTCCCGGTCAGGGCCACTCCCGGGCAGGTGGAGCTCGTTAGCCCTTAAAGGCAACCCACCTACATCCTAAGGACCTCGCTGCCACCGTCCAAGCTCGCTTGGCCCCGGCAGATGAACCTTAGGATTAAAGGGTGGGCTCAGTTCCGCGCACACTGTGTCTCACCTAAAAAATCCAGTGCGCAGGCTGGAAGGTGTAAAGACCTTCCCCGGATCTTCACTCGTGAAGACTGGCCATTAATACTAAGCAGAAGCATCTAAGAGCCATTCTTGTAAGGAAGCTTCAAGAATGTTATTCACTCGGATAAAGGTTAGGAATTCTTGCCTTCTGTGTCAGACAGAACCACAGTACAGAAAATGGCAGCCTCAAAAAACTACAAGGAAATATTAATGTTCTGGTCTAGATTTGGATTGGGTGGGAAAAGAAGTGTTTACTGTATCTCTGGTGGAAGAGTAACCACCTTAAAATTCATGGTTTTGAGCACATTTACATGTTAGGGTAGGATTACTGAAAGCTGGGTAGAATGTTTGTGGAGTATATGTAACTATTTAGTCTGATGCTGTGAAGGAGTAGTTGTCTCCAAATAAGTTTGAAAAATCAAAACCATTATAGGGCATTAAGAGGTGTTTGAAGAATAGCACTGAGTTGTTACTCTTGATTTGGTAATCATACACACTTATATTAGGATATGAAGGGTGGAATTTCTTCTCTTCCTACTGTTATTCTACCCACAGTCTGTTCCCAAGATCTCTAATACCTTAGATCAGTGAAAAGGTAGATTAGGTTAGCTAGTGTGTCAGAAGGGAAGATAACAAGCTTATCTTGTTATCTGGTTATCTTGCACCATTGTTACATGAGTGATGTGTAAGAAATTATTGAATTTTATGTTTCCAGCAAGGAAATCCTAAACGTTGACCAGAGGGAGGAAGGAAAATACTATGTCGAGGCTTTAATGTTTAAAGTCCCGCTTTACAGAAGAATGTGCTGTTTCTGTCCTTGGAGGTTTTCTATAGCAGTTTGGTAAAGCTCTGAGAAACCTGATGTTACTTTGCTTTTGAGAAGTTGAACTAGATGACTTTCTGAAGTCTATTTCAACTTGAATTATCCCATGTCCTCTGTACCAAATACAGACTATATTTGTTTGTATTTACTTTTAAGGAGGAGTTTTCATCTTCTGTTAGCTTTAAATTAAGATATTGAAATGATTGTGTATGTTTTGAGGAAAAAAAAAACCCAAACCCAAAGTGATGTGCACATTGTGTGTTTTTTGTTTAGGACATGGATTCACAGAAGGATGTTCAGCCTCCAAAGCAACAGCCAATGATTTACATTTGTGGAGGTAAAGAAAAGACATTAGTGATTTTTTTTTTCTTACATGTTACTTGAGATTTAGTGTTTTAATAATGATGCCATTATACTGAAGAGTACATGAATGCAAATAATTGCAGTGTGGATCCCCATGATCTTTAAAGCTTTACGCGTTGATGGTAATGTGTATGGGTTATCACATGGTAACCCATATGGATGGGCAAGTAATTTCCTTAGATCTTGTGTTGCTGCGTGGAGTTCCTCCATCTCCAGAGAATGCTTTCTCTAAGTGTCCACGTGTGGTGCAAAGAGTGGACCTTCTGTTCAGTGCATCTCAATGTTTTACTGAAAATGCTGTCTGGGCACTCAGCTTTTACTGAAATACAGTAGTCAAATTCTCTCTTACCTATAGATAAGTCAAAAACTTACAAATTGGTGATTTTGAGTCAGCACTTCAGGAATCTCTGAAATATTTTGTCTTGTAAGAAAATAAACTGTGGGCTTTTGGAGGTCTAAACTGAAATTTTTGTTAGTATCAGTCTAGTATTAAGAGTGGAATGTGTTCTGTGCAGTAATATTTTGGTCATTTTTAGCAAGATTCTCTTTGACCTTAATGTAAGTTAAACTTGCCTTTTATTTTCTTTTTTTTCTCAGTATTTTGGTATCACTGAGCTCTTGATACAGATCCGTTACATGTACTACATTTGCCACCAATAGGAATTTGATTATTTTGGCTTTTGAAAGGTATATGTGCATGAACAATCCTGTTTTTGTTTACCCACTATCTTTGTCTTCCTCTATAACATTAGAATGTCATACAGAAAATGAAATAAAGGCAAGAGATCCTATCAGATGCAGAGAATGTGGCTACAGAATAATGTACAAGAAAAGGACCAAAAGATGTATCCTTTTACAAGTGCACTTGAAAGCATTTGGAAAGCTGTGGGTGGAGATAAGGTGTGTAAGGGAAACAGAAAGGAAGATTTGAGTAATTATGGCAAAATCCTTCAAGGCAAAAAAATCAGTGCAGTAGAGCAAACTACTATGGGGCAATCTCTGCATAGTGATTTGGCACCTTCCTTTCTTTCCTGGCACTTCCCCGCTTTTTCCATTTTCTATACAAAATATAATAAGTTATGATAGTCTGCTGGGTGATGTACTGTGAATTGACAGTCTCTCTCTTTTATTCCTCTCCCCATCTTTTTTTTTAACCACAACACTTTTTTTTGGTCTTTAACTGAGCTATTACAGTGGTGGTTTTTGATGCCCGATGATATCTGCTGAAGATACAGTGACTTCATGATGCAGTTTAGTCTTTCTGATAACTTTGCTCTGTAAAACTATTTGTGTACAAATGCACACTCTTATTTGTGTTTTAGGAGATTATTAAAGTTTACTGTAATACTAAATTTTGTCTATACTGTGTTCCAGCAATAGATTTCTAAAGCTATTGTTTAAATTGTCAGAGTATGCAGTATTTTTTAAGTTCGATGGTTTTGTATTCTTTTTGACTTAATCTTGTTTTCATTACTGTCATCTAAACTTTATTTGCATTTTAACTTTGTTAAATGTTCTTTGGACTTCTGTGAATTGCATAAAATAACTGTGGTTTGAATAAATTCCACTGAAAAGAAATAGAGGCATACTCAAGGCTAGGTCTGAAATACAGATCTGGATTTCTTAAGACTTGAGAGCACCAAATTGTGGATGTGTTAAAGGTATGGATGTCTGGAAGTGTCAAAAAATCATCTCTTGGGAAAGAAGAGGGAGAGTGAGGCAAGGTAAACATTAAAAAGCAATGTGGAAAAAGAAATTACGAAAGTGCTGTTTGACTAGTTTGTACTCAAGGAAAGAATTAGTACTCAAGGAAAAAATAATGTGTTACAAAGATAAATTGGGTAACATCCCAAAACTATAGCATCTTGTTTTGCTTTTTGGATGACTTCTCAGGGGTCTGTAATAGAAAGATCAAGGTGGTGATTTTGTTTTGAGAAGCCAAAACTTTTTGCATCTTTCTGTTTGGAATGTGTGTTATGCAGTAGTACTAAATTCTACTACAAAATACTGCTGAATTGTGTGTACTTGATCTCAGTTTTGATGGTGCTAATGATGGTGTTACATTGAGATACCATGTTTAACTCACCGTTGTAATAAGGTATCTTTAAAGTGTGCGTGACTGTTCTGGCTCATAAATGAGCTGCAGTGGTTTGTTATAGAGGATAAAGAAAAGCAGTCTGAGATGTTGTTTTGGAGCTGTTGGTTAAGATTTTCCTATTTATCTGATCTCTGCTGTTAAGACTAGGTTTTTCCGGGAAACCAGATACGCTCGGGTGTAAGTGATAGCCTTTTTGCTACACCAGCCTGGCCTGCATAATGTGCATCTTATGCCTGAATAACAGAAAGAAGGGTCGCTACTGCCGTGGCTGCTCAGAAGGGTGAGGAGGAGAGGGCAGGAGCATTGCTATCGAAGGTTTGGGGGCACGGTGGGTGCTTCTTTCTGCCAGGCATGCGGAGAAGAGCATCCTCTGCCATCGGGGACTTGCTGTAGGGAGCAGCGCCGGGAACTGCAGGGCTGACGGGCAGCACTGGTGTGGGCACGGGGGGATGCCGGCATTGGGAGGGGACTGCCTGAGTAAAATACTACACTGAAAACAAGAGAGTGACGATTATCAAACCTTCACCCCCAGGTGCTGTATCTGCCCCCGCAGCAGGTGGGGGCGGGCGGCGCCGCCGCTCCCCTCAGGCCTGACCGCAGCCGCGCCTGCGCGCCGGGCAGCGAAGGGAGGGCGGCCGCGGCTGAGGGGCGGCCGTGTGCGGGTCCGGAGGCAGCGCGGCACCGGAGGCAGCGCGGCACCGGGCAGGTGGGTGCCGGAATCGGGCGGGTGACGCCCGTGTCGCCAGTGGAGCTCGGCGGGGCTCTTTGGGAGCCTGGCCAGGGTGTCCGTGGGGAGGACAGCGCCGTGTCCGCGCCGCCATGTTGTACATAGCAGCAGTTGCTAAGCTCGGTCTGGCGGCGCTGCCCGGGCCCCGGCGGTGGGTGCCGCTCCCCAGGTAAATTCCTGACCCCGGGGGATGTGGAAGGGGTGTTGGAGGGGGCGCTCCGGGCTGTGGCTGTGCCGTGCCCCCGAGCAGCCGCGGTGTCCGTGTCGGCGCCGTGCCCCGGGTAGCTCCCTCCTTTCCATGAAAATACTGAAACGGGAGAAGGCGCTGGTTTGTGATGAACTTTTTACTCCTGTTTAATTATTTACTGCATTCGTACGGCTTTCCATGCGTGATGTTTCTTTTTCAGTACAGAAACTGTAAGGTCTTGGGGCAGGATCTCTGTTACGGTCACCTAATTATTGACCAGTTATTATTTGAGTGATAATATATTGTAAACATTTTTTGTGCAACTACAATTTAATAGGTGTAGTTATGTTAGTCATTAGAACACAGTTATTTTAACTGGGTTTATATTTGCACATAGTTGTTATTGCACATTAGCTAGCTGCTCATCTTGTACTTGTTAAAAATAACTTATCGCTTTATGCACTATATAAAGGGGGAAAGAGTGAAGAATTTCAGCTCCATAGAGCTTGGGATCAAAACAGAAAAAGATGCAGATGAACAGATCGAAGAACAGGGAGGCAGAAGTGTCTGTCCCATTTGAACCCCTCACTTTATCAGTTACATACTTACTGGAAAAGGCTTATATTACTACTGTAATATAATCAGAGACCCAGAAAATGCAGTTAGTGAGCAAAGAAAACTGGATTTATTTTTGCTACAGAGAAGGCAAAGGTTATTATTTCTTTAGATACAATGTTGGTTAACATCTTCCCTTTGAAAAAAGCAGTCTCCTGCACCATCTTATCCTTCATGATTATCATACTTGCTTAAATAGGTAGTATTATATTGTATTTAAAGAAAAGTTGAGATTGTAGTAGGTAAAAATTGGCAATTTTTGTTTAAGCAGTCTTTCTGAATTGTTCTGCTTTGCAGAAGCAGTAGAGTTGCATATACTCTTCATACAAAGCATCTCTCATATGCAACCATACTTCTGTCAGTAAACCCTGACGAGAACAGCTCATATGATCAGGTCTTCAAATCTGAATTTTTTTCTTTTGTGACAGTAGATCTACTTGCATAAGAGAGTGGAGCATGAGCAGGTTTTTTCCTTAAATTGGCATTGCTTCAAAATGTAACTAAGTACCTACAGGATCACTAAATTTTTTTCCTTTTAATGTTTAGTTATGGGTGATGAGTCAGTACCATTTTTGCTGGACCAAGGAACCACTAAAACATATCAAATACCTATTAGTCATCTGGATTACAAATTCATTGAAAAATGCACAGATGTTAAGCACCTGGAAAAGATTCTCAGAGTATTAAGGTAAACATATTTTCTTATCTTCATTAATAATTATATTCCTGTTCTGTAAAATTTGAGGGAACCCTTACCTAGATACTTGTATCTGCCTGAACCTCTTTGTGACTTTCTAATTTAAAAATTAAAATACAGAGTTAAAGTAATCATGTTAAAAGTGTCCCAATAATAACACTAGAAATCCAAGTCCTGATTTAACCATCAAAAAGGTTTGAGTAACTGACTGTCAGGTTTTTTTCAAAATGCTGTGCTCTATTTTCGTTCTATTATGATCCTTCTTGCCTGACTCTGGTAATTTCAGGTACCACACTGTTTAACTTTTGCTGAAAATGACACAAACTTTTTTTTTGAGCACTGTGATGATAATTTGAACTGTATATGTATGGACATTGGAAAATGGTTGAGGGTCAACTGGAATTTTCTGATGAAAATGTTATTAGATGACAGTAAAATTGAATTGTAACAGGGAAATAGTCCTCTACAGTCATTGTAGTGACTACAGATGGAGGGAAATATGGAGGACACAGTGCAATTTAGTTTCTTTTTTGTTAACTTTTATATCTTTGCATGTGAAAGGTCTGGTGAAGAGGGATGTTACCCTGAACTTACCTTGGTTTGTGAAAAGCGTATTGAGCATTTAGATCCAAGGAGCAGAGCTCTGAGAAAAGATAAGCCTGCAGCCACAGCTTCTGATTTCACAGCTGAAGAGTGGGAAACAATTAATGATGAGCTGATGGTACAGTATCTAATTTATAATGGTCCATAATATAATCACTTTGATGTATCAATCTTCCTCTTCTTGGGCCTAAGTAGAATGTAATTATTTGATTAAATGATGAAATGATCAAACGACTATGTTGTAGCTTTGTAATTGTTTTCTTGAGTTAATGTCACTGAACCTTTAGTGCCTATTTTAACTCTACAGATGTTTTCTTTTTGTGGATTACTTTGTATTCAAAAAAGCACTATTGCTTTTTTTTCTTAATTACTTTTCCCCATTAATAGCAATGTTCTGTAAGTATAGTTGTTAGGGTGATTGTAGACTGTGAAGTATATCTGTCCTACTGCCTTAAGGTAGAGATATTTTATTTATTTATTTTCAGAGCTGGGTGACAGAAATGAATGAAGATGATAAGAAATCACAGTTCCTGAGAACAGACACACCAAATGAAAGTCAAGATAACTTGCCTCCCATTCGTTGTTCCAGCAGCTGTCTTCCTGCTAAGCAGGTATCTCCAGTTTTCTAATGTGTGTTAATTATATGTTTTTCTAAAATTGGGAAATTTTGTATGAACAAACTTCCAATCATTGAACCTTTCTTATTAGATTTATTTTACTAACCAGAAAATAAAAACCTTTAAGCTCCCTTGTGAGAGGCCAATGCTTAAACAAAAGTGCTTTCTTTGTACTAGCATGTGTCTTGTAATAATGTTTTAATTCGGATCAAGAACTCACTGCTGGAGCAGACCTCCTTAAACCCTCTTTTATGTTCTTTGATTCATGTTTCAGAATGGTTTTTAAGCATATGAATTGGGTTTCTTTTGGATGAAATTATGCCAGGAGATTTTCTCCAGCTGCCAGTAGGCTTTTGTTCCATGGGCCAGACAGGAGCTAGTCCAAAATAAATACCCTGAAACAGATATGCTGTGGATGTTAGATCTTCTGCACCAATTGTTTCATTCTGTACCCATTTCTGTATTGGGTTGTGCTGTCTTTGATTGCCCTTGTTTTTTTCTACCTTGAGTTGCCATTCCCACTGCAGTCATATAGCATACTTCCTAATTTAGCCATTAAGCACACTTAACAAATCTTCACAATTAAGAACAAATACTTATATTTTTCCTAGGTATTAGTTTCCTTATGTGTTTTTTTTTTTTCCTGCCTAAAATCGGTTTTGTCTGTGACTGGCTTTTCTTGCTAATACTAAATGTGGTGCTGCTGGGAGGATTGGCAGACAAACAGGTGTGGGATAGAATTTTTCTCAATTGTAGGGTGTTGTCATAGATCACTTCAGTCCGATTCTCAAAATTTTCTTTAAAATTCTGGGACATTGCTACAACAAATATTTTTCTTTTTGGAT